GACTATAGACTAGACTATAGACTAGACTATAGACTAGACTATAGACTAGACTATAGACTAGACTATAGACTAGACTATAGACTAGACTATAGACTAGACTATAGACTAGACTATAGACTAGACTATAGACTAGACTATAGACTAGACTATAGACTAGACTATAGACTAGACTATAGACTAGACTATAGACTAGACTATAGACTAGACTATAGACTAGACTATAGACTAGACATAGACTAGACTATAGACTAGACTAGACTATACTATAGACTAGACTATAGACTAGACTAGACTAGACTATAGACTAGACTATAGACTAGACTATAGACTATACTAGACTAGACTATAGACTAGACTATAGACTAGACTATAGACTAGACTAGACTAGACTATAGACTAGATATAGACTAGACTATAGACTAGACTATAGACTAGACTATAGACTAGACTATAGACTAGACTATACTAGATACTAGACTATAGACTAGACTATAGACTAGAGACTAGACTATAGACTAGACTATAGACTAGACTATAGACTAGACTATAGACTAGACTATAGACTAGACTAGACTAGACTATAGACTAGAGACTAGACTATAGACTAGACTATAGACTAGACTATAGACTAGAGACTAGACTATAGACTAGACTATAGACTAGAGACTAGACTATAGACTAGACTATAGACTATATAGACTAGACTATAGACTAGACTATAGACTAGACTATAGACTAGACTATAGACTAGACTATAGACTAGACTATAGACTAGACTATAGACTAGACTATAGACTATAGACTTTTTTAATAAAGTCAACACTTTGTCAATTGGGTAATAATGTGCACATTCACGTTTCTCCATGGCTGCATTGCTATGAGAAAGAATGCAAAGGCTCCAACACATGGGTGTAAATAAGTATGTATTTCCGTTATTTCTATAAATGACAATGATGTTGTTTTTCTATTCTGATATTTTCTACTACTTCTTCTTCTTCTTTTTTTCTTCTTGTAAAACAAACTTATGCCTTAATACTCGTAAAGTAACTGTTAAGTATTGTGTGTAAACATTTTTATGTATTTGTTTATTAGATGATAGTTAGAGAGAGAGATAGAGAGTGAAATAGAAAACCTACTACGCAGAGTGTTTTTTTAAAAATATTGTTCTTGTTTTTTTCTTCGTTATTGTCGCTGCAATGCGAGTGTTTATGTGAAAATTTTATATTTTCTTACTTACATCTGTATACTTGACATTATCTTTAGCAAAAAGAGGAAGAAGCGAATGTAACAAATATAAAGATGACACAAACTTATTGCATGATTTTAAATTAAAGCATACTTTTAGGCAAGTTTTTCATTTTATTTATTTTTATTTTCTTTTTATATTTAAAAGTGTTGTTGATAAAGTACACGATTATTTTTCTTCTTATTGTCAAAGCAAAGAAAGTTTTTTTTAGAATTTTATTCTTAGAAAAGAAATAGATTTTTTTCCTTAAGCAAAAAATTGTTATAGAAAATAACAACTGAAGTGAAAGTTCTTATGGGGGTTTTTATAACATGCTCTATAAACAAAACCTTAAATTACAAAACAAATTGAATAAAGTTACATATTTATTTATTTATTAAAAACAACCACATGTATAAATATTATTTTTAATTTATTTTAAGAAATTACCAAAAAAAAAAAACAATATTTTGTAACACAGAAATCTTTAAAGATAACTTGAGATAACTACATATACATAAATCTTAACCTGTAAGATAAATTTTATATTTTGACTTTTATAGTGATAACCTTTTTCGAAACGTCAATTTATTGTCGATGAGAGTTGGCTGAGTATATTTTTATTCCATTTCCCTTAAGTCTTATAAAGATTATTTGTTTCTTAATTTAACTTCTAGTTCAGTTCTAGTTCCGTTCTCGTTCAGTTCTAGTTCAGTTCTAGTTCAGTTCTAGTTCAGTTCTAGTTCAGTTCTAGTTCAGTTCTAGTTCAGTTCTAGTTCAGTTCTAGTTCAGTTCTAGTTCAGTTCTAGTTCAGTTCTAGTTCAGTTCTAGTTCAGTTCTAGTTCAGTTCTAGTTCAGTTCTAGTTCAGTTCTAGTTCAGTTCTAGTTCAGTTCTAGTTCAGTTCTAGTTCAATTCTAGTTCAGTTCTAGTTCAGTTCTAGTTCAGTTCTAGTTCAGTTCTAGTTCAGTTCTAGTTCAGTTCTAGTTCAGTTCTAGTTCAGTTCTATTTCAGTTCTAGTTCAGTTCTAGTTTAGTTCTAGTTAATAAAATTTTGCGTTTTTGTTGTCAGTTAATATGTAGTATGCAGTTTTTCTTTGTCGTCATTTTCTACTCGACTATTCATAACGACAATTCAAGGCTGTTATTGTAAATGCATGTGGGTTAGATGTCTGATGGTAAACGGAGAGCCACAGGGATGTTTGAGATATATTGTCTCTATTTGTGTGTAAAGAATGAAATCTTGATTGATGCTTTCAAATACACATACACGACTGCACAAAAATGTACATGCACACATTCTCACGTATCTATATATTTGTTGTTGTTCTAGTTTAGTTCTAGGCTCAAATAAATTGTTCAATATTAAACAATACAGTTTTTATTAAACAGTTTTCAGTTTCTGTTCACACGCAATTTGTGTTGCATCACAAAATTTAAAATCATCGTAGAGATGTAAGAGACTTTTAAATGGTTAAAGACTTTCGAAATTAATTTTTTTTGTTTTAAAACGATAATGTTTTTGAGTGATTTTATGCAATAAAGAAATAAACAGATGATAAAAACATTGTAAAGGTATTTGAGTCGTACTGTCATTTTTTCCTTTACAAATTTATCCTCTATTTACTATTGATAAACAATTTAAGAGTGCTAGTAACTATGTATGCATGTGTTGTTTTTGTTTTGTTTTAGATAACATTATTCTTTATTTTGTGGTGTAGATGAAAAAAGAATGAAGACGGTAGCATTTTCATGTTTGTGTATTTATGCGAGTGAATAAGTTTGTTTAGTATGAATTTTCATGTTATAAATAGTGAAGACTACTATTCATACTACTCGTATGAGTATTCTTTTTTATTCAAGTTAAATAAATTTTTTTTACGTTTATTTTCATTAGTTTGTGTATAGATTTTGTTTTGGTATCTTGTAATTTCCAAGTACATACTCTTATCAAGCCTTTACCAGAAGGATAATAATAACAACAATGTATGTAAATAACAACAACAGTAAGTACTAAAGATATGTATACTTTAAGGTTAATTGATAATAAGAGGTGTTCAAATAAGTGGTTAAGTTAAGGAATATTATGGTATTATCAAGGTTCTACTTAAATTTATTTCGTTGAGATCTATTTCAGTTCTATTTAAGTTCCATTTCATTTCTAGGTCAGTTCTAGTTCAGTTCTAGTTCTGTTCTAGTTTAGTTCTAGTTCAATTCTAGTTCAGTTCTAGTTTAGTTCTAGTTCAATTCTAGTTTCAGTTCTAGTTCAGTTCTAGTTCAGTTCTAGTTCAGTTCTAGTTCAGTTCTAGTTCAGTTCTAGTTCCAGTTCTAGTTCAGTTCTAGTTCAGTGCTAGTTCAGTTTCTAGTTCAGTTCTAGTTCAGTAGTCTAGTTCAGTTCTAGTTCAGTTCTAGTTCAGTTCTAGTTCAGTTCTAGTTCAGTTCTAGTTCAGTTCTAGTTCAGTTCTAGTTCAGTTCTAGTTCAGTTCTAGTTCAGTTCTAGTTCAGTTCTAGTTCAGTTCTAGTTCAGTTCTAGTTCAGTTCTAGTTCAGTTCTAGTTCAGTTCTAGTTCAGTTCTAGTTCAGTTCTAGTTCAGTTCTAGTTCAGTTCTAGTTCAGTTCTAGTTCAGTTCTAGTTCAGTTCTAGTTCAGTTCTAGTTCAGTTCTAGTTCAGTTCTAGTTCAGTTCTAGTCGTAGTTCAGTTCTAGTTCAGTTCTAGTTCAGTTCTAGTTCAGTTCTAGTTCAGTTCTAGTTCAGTTCTAGTTCAGTTCTAGTTCAGTTCTAGTTCAGTTCTAGTTCAGTTCTAGTTCAGTTCTAGTTCAGTTCTAGTTCAGTTCTAGTTCAGTTCTAGTTCAGTTCTAGTTCAGTTCTAGTTCAGTTCTAGTTCAGTTCTAGTTCAGTTCTAGTTCAGTTCTAGTTCAGTTTTCTAGTTCAGTTCTAGTTCAGTTCTAGTTCAGTTCTAGTTCAGTTCTAGTTCAGTTCTAGTTCAGTTCTAGTTCAGTTCTAGTTCAGTTCTAGTTCAGTTCTAGTTCAGTTTCAATTTTTGTTAATTTCTAGTTCAGCTGTAGTTCAGTTCTTGTTATTTCTTTAACAGTTCTAGCTAAGTCTTAGCTAAGTAGTTTTGTTGTTATTAAACCTATTGGTTTCACCAATGACAGCAGAGTTTAATTAAACCAGTTGCTTCGTAGATATTATTGTTTTTGTTTGTATAGTAAGTAAATTTACTATTGTTGTTGGGGCTGTTGTATTTGACCATATTTAAACACCAATTCCTACATTATTGAATGGTATGTAAACAATTATATTAATGGACTTTTGTGTGATTACAGAGATTATTTTCTTGTCATTTGCGTTGTTTTCTGCATGACTGTGTGTGTGTTCAATTGTCTATGATTTTGGAGGATTTACATTATCTGTCCTTACTTGTTGTTATTTTTTTGTTGTGTGGGGTTTAATTTTGCTTTTAAATGGCTTAAATTACAAGTTAATTGAATATTCCACTTATATACATATGTATGTATTATATACGATAGTCTGCTATAGAAGTATTATTGGATGTGAGCGTGTTTTTGCGAATTTCAGACAAATATTTATTTTTCTGTGCTATTTATAATTACAATGAGTTTTTAATATCATTTGGGGCGGAAGAACAAGGAAAAAATTCTGTATATTAATTTTTATGTTTTCTTTATTTGACAAAGATTTTTGGTTAACAGTTAATTTAATATTTATGTTCTCAATTTACAATTTTATTTTACTTGTTTTATTACTTTTATTTTCAGATTATTTTACCAGAGTTTTGTTTTTAATATAAAACATTAAATTAATTCGTTAAATGCTGGGATTTCACTAAAATACAAAAACCGTAAGTGTTTTATTTTAATTTTTAAATAATTGGAAACCCCTACGTATACTTATTATTAATTAAATAAATATTTCTCATTCGCATAGGCAAAATAAATTACATACTTATTTTCAGCGAATTTTCTCTGAAATTATTAGTAAATTTTATATATTTTTATATAGAATATTCGAATTTCAATGAAAAATAGAGAACTTAACTAGAACTGAACAAGTTTTCTATTAAATTATTTGCCTAAATATATTAAAAATATTTTTCATAAAACAATCATTGTGTAATAAAATAATTCCCAAAAACCTCAATTTTAATATAATATTTGAAATATGAAATATTGTTGAGTTTTGTTATAAATTCAACATTTTTATGTATTTAACAAATATGTACAGTGACCTCCTAAAAATCTGATATACAAATTTTATTCATTAAAAAAAACAATGTGCAATGATGCTAATGCAACCATCCACATTAATATAAATAAATAGAACAAAAATATAGTTTATACATTTTTTCATAGTAATTCAAAATCAAACAACTACATTTAAAAATCAAATAGAGGTTAAACAAAGCCAATCTGAATCAAAAAAACTTTTTTATACTACAGTAAAATTAACAATGTTTGTGAGTAATTGTATTAGTGTGTGTTCTTTAAACGGTTTAACTTTTTATAAGTTTAAACTTCAGTTGTTTTAATAATTTCAAACAAAATTTTTCATTTAGTTGAATTTGTTATTGTAATATTGCTTTTGTTTTCTAACCATAAAATCTTTTTTTGCACTTTTGTAAGTTAAATATTTGCTTCATAGTTAAATATAAATAACAAAATAACCTGTTCTTTAATTTTGTATATTCTAAATATTAAATATTTTTTTTGTGTAAATTATTTCTGTATTTTAAATACAAATATACAATGCAGTGGTATTTGTTTTTCTTTTTTGTTACAACATTATTTTTTACAATTAAACCGCATTTGGAAAAAAATATATTACAAATAATAGTAAAACACGTAATGCTCAACTTTAGCCGCAAACCTTAAAAATTAATATACAGAAATAAATTAGAAATAGAGGAAAATAGAAATATATTCTAACCACAAACCACCATGGGATTATTCTATTTTTAAACAAAAAGGGTCAATATTTTAAATTTATTTGAAATTTAAATATATTTGTTTTTTTAGACTTTAAGTAATAACAGTAAAAGATTGGAACTAAAAACAGGTCTAGAATATAATTAGAACAAAAATAGAACAGAATTAGAATAGACTAGAGCAGAACTATAACAGAACTATAACAGACCTAGAACAGAACTAGAACAGAACAGAAAAGAACTAGAACACAACGCAACGGAACAGAACTAGAAAAGAACCAGAGAAGAAGTAGAACGTAACTAGAACTTGAACAGAACTAGAACAAGAACTAGAACAGACCTAGAACAGAACTAGAACAGAACTAGAACAGAACTAGAAAAGAACTAGAACAGAACTAGAACAGAACTAGAACAGAACTAGAACAGAACTAGAACAGAACTAGAACAGAACTAGAACAGAACTAGAAACACAGAACTAGAACAGAAACTAGAACAGAACTAGAACAGAACTAGAAGAACTAGAACAGAACTTAACAGAACTAGAACAGAACTAGAACAGACTAGAACAGAACTAGAACAGAACTAGAACAGAACTAGACAGAACTAGAACAGAACTAGACAGAACTAGAAAACAGAACTAGAACAGAACGACTAGAAACAGAACTAGAACAGAACTAGAACAGAACTAGAACAGAACTAGAACAGAACTAGAACAGAACTAGAACAGAACTAGAACAGAACTAGAACAGAACTAGAACAGAACTAGAACAGAACTAGAACAGAACTAGAACAGAACTAGAACGACTAGAACAGACTAGAAACAGAACTAGAATAGAACTAGAACAGAACTAGAACAGAACTAGAACAGAAACCTAGAACAGAACTAGAACAGAACTAGAACAGACTAGAACAGAACTAGCAACTAGAACAGAACTAGAACAGAACTAGAACAGAACTAGAACAGAACTAGAACAGAACTAGAACAGAACTAGAACAGAACTAGAACAGAACTAGAACAGAACTAGAACAGAACTAGAACAGAACTAGAACAGAACTAGAACAGAACTAGAACAGAACTAGAACAGTAGAACAGAACTAGAACAGAACTAGAACAGAACTAGAACAGAACTAGAACAGAACTAGAACAGAACTAGAACAGAACTAGAACAGAACTAGAACAGAACTAGAACAGAACTAGAAAGAACTAGAAAAGAACTAGAACAGAACAGAACTAGAACTAGAACAGAACTAGAACAGAACTAGAACAGAACTAGAACAGAACTAGAACAGAACTAGAACAGAACTAGAACAGAACTAGAACAGAACTAGAACAGAACTAGAACAGAACTAGAACAGAACTAGAACAGAACTAGAACAGAACTAGAGCAGAACTAGAACTAGAACAGAACTAGAACAGAACTAGAACAGAACTAGACAGAACTAGAAAAGAACTAGAACAGAACTAGAACAGAACTAGAACAGAACTAGAACAGAACTAGAACAGAACTAGAACAGAACTAGAACAGCAACTAGAACAAAACTAGAACAGAACTCGAACAGAACTAGGAACAAAACTAGAACAGCACTAGAACAGAACTAGAAAGAACTAGAACAGAACTAGAACAGAACTAGAACCAGAACTAGAACATAACTAGAACAGAACTAGAAACAGAACTAGAACAGAACTAGAACAAACTAGACAGAACTAGAACAGAACTAGAACAGAACTAAACAGAACTAGAACAGAACTAGACAGAACTAGAACAGAACTAGAACAGAACTAGAACAGAACTAGAACAGAACTAGAACAGAACTAGAACAGACCTAGAACAGAACTAGACGAACTAGAACAACTAGAACAGAACTAGAACAGAACTAGAACAGAACTAGAACAGAACTAGAACAGAACTAGACGAACTAGACGAACAGAACTAGAACAGAACTAGAACAGAACTAGACAGAACTAGAACAGAACTAGAACAGAACTAGACCAGAACTAAACAGAAACTAGAACAGAACTAGACAGAACTAACAGAACTAGAAACTAGACAACTAGACAGAACTAGAACAGACTAGAACAGAACTAGACAACTAGAACAGACTAGACAGACTAGAAAACTAGAACAGAAATAGAACAGAAATAGAACAGAAATAGAACAGAAATAGAACAGAACTAGAACACAACTAGAACAGAACTAGAACACAACTAGAACACAACTAGAACACAACTAGAACAGAACTAGAACAGAACTAGAACAGAACTAGAACAGAACTAGAACAGAACTAGAACAGAACTAGAACAGAACTAGAACAGAACTAGAACAGAACTTAATTTATTTATTTCCTTTTTATGAGCACTATTTAGTCATGTATTCAATTAATCCTTGGTGTTCAGTGGGTGGTACTTCGTATAATTTAATAATAACAGTAAGTTATTAATTATTACAGCTCTGATGTAATAACAAAAATAGTTCTACTTTGTCTTACCTTAACCTACATATTAGCTTGAGCAAATTATTTTTGTTGATGAAAAGGCCAAAATAAGCCTAAATACACGCTATTAACATTTCGTAAACTTTTTTGTCATAAATTCTGTTATATAACTCAGATATCTTTGGGTGTATTTTCTATTTATTAGATTTTTATATCCTTCACTTTCGTGAGCAGGGTAAATAAAATATATAAATAAGTTTGTTATTCCCTTTTTAATTTCCCATTAAATATATAAATCCTTGTAGATAAGGAAGTTCCTTTGTCAATATTTTTGTTGAAATCAAGTTCCTGAGGACCCCAAATATCTTCATATTAAAAATAAAATTATTTGAAAATTTTTTCTTCCTTTCTTATAAAAAAAGATATAATATGAAAAGTTCAAAAGGTCAGGAATTATGTATGTAAATATATAAAAAAAGAATAGTATAACAGTAATGTTTATAAATAACTACAGCCATTGACCTACATTTCAAAGTAATTTTGTAATTATAATAGAAAGCAAGGAAACTAAATTTAAATAAACATTTGCCTTCTAAAAACGATTTCTCATGCTCAGCTGTTTATAATCGATTTTTGTTAAATAATTGTTATTATTTAACTTTCAATTGAAATATTTTTGTAACAAAAAAAAAAAAAAAGAACAAAAGTAACAAATTAATTACACACGTACAGTGTAATAAAGTCTTGTCACAAAAGTACTAAGTAAAAACAAAATACCTAAAAAAAGTCAAAATACAACAACAACAACTATGTTAACAAATTGACGTTTCAGGATAGAAAAATATATAATTAATATCAACTTATAGAGAGAACAAACACAGTTTGTATAATTACATAGTACTACCCGGTATTTCGGGGTAACTTTAGTGAATATTAATATATTAATTAATTAAACAATTAAACCACATATAACTTTAGGTCATTTACTACAAAACTGGCATAACTCAAAAAATATTCTTTTTTTTACGATTTCTTAAAAAGTTTTAATCAAAGGTCTTTTTGTAAATGAGGCACACATTGACTACTTGTAAACAGCTGGGTAATGCACGTGTCTGCATAAGAGTTTTTTTTTTTTTTTTTTTTTTGTTGACCAGCCATTCGTTCGCTTTCATTTATTTATGTGTCCTAAAATGAGCACAACTAATGACCTTTTGATTACCATTTTACATTTAAATGGCCATAATACAATAATATGTGTGCATGTGCTTGTGTTTGCATTTATTATTGACAATAAAATTAAATTTAATTTGTTTAAATACGAGTGCTTATAAAATATTAAATATCAACAAACCAATGAACGATTAAATTGTATGAAGAGAAATGGTTTATATTTCAGAAAAAGTAATAAAAATTGTGTATAGTATAAGTAATTTTTACAATTTCGATTTGGGTTTTTAAAGTGAAATGATTATGAAAGGTTACAA